TTTGGTAATAACAGACTTGCTATTTACCATTTTGTAATCCAGAAATTTTGCGGCAACGAATTTCTTCATCCCTGCATCTTCAGTTTTATATTTCTTTTCAAGCGCATTCCATAATTCTTTTGACGTCTCCACGCCACTGTATACATTATACAGATTATCATCAAATCCGCTAAGAATATAATTCTTGCATAAAAAATTAGAATGCTTCCACGCTTCAATCACGATAAAGCGTTCATTCTCTGGAGTTTTATCTGGCAGATCAGGAACATCTTCCTTGATGAACTTCTGTAGACATAACGTAGTTAAGTAGAAGAACATCTTCTGCTGCCAGCGTTTGAAATCAATCCCGGAAAATTTTCCGGGTTTTTCTGCCGGTGCCAACGCCGGTGTTCGGCTTGTCGATGCGTTGGCAGTCACCATCGGAACAGCTTGGTTTTCGCTTTCAGTCGTCATTTTTTTCTGGAAAAAAAAAATGATACAAACAAATGTTTAATATACGTTTTCAAACTGGAGTAAAAATCACGTAGATTTGAATCTCCAACAAAACGCCACGAATGCTTTACTCTCCAATACGGGAGTACACAAAACCACAAAGGTTTTAGTTTGCAGAATAATAAGAATAACACAAGTACAGAAATAAATATTAAATTCCTTAAGATTGTTATTCCCGGTCAATATTGCTGTATTTGTAAATATTAATTCTGCAAAATATAAGTTAACGTAATGAAACAATAATAATAAATTCGAGCCCACTGAATTCACAGTGTTTCCTTAAGGAATTTAATCCCCTCCTAGTACCCAAGGTAATGGATTATTTCCTCCCAGGATAGAACGAATAACACACTGGTGTAGCGGTACTTCAAACCCCAGTGTTTCAGCGAACACAAAGTTCGGTAGCAAATCACACTTACAGTTGCTTTGTTTGAAGTTAAAACAATGCAGAACAAAGGAGTAGAAACTCAGAAAATCGTATGGAAATGCTGAGAGGAAGGAGTGCAATGTATAACCAAAGTTGAGCGTTCTCAGTTTTGTTGGTGTTTTCGTTTTTCGTTCGTGTCTTTCTTCAACAGCTGTTGCACATATATATAGCAGCCAGCTTTGAAGATGAACGACCCTCCATCCTTCATGGTGGAGCATGCACTAGCTTGTTTGTGGAGCAAGCACTTAGTCCAAAAAATTAATACACTGATTCGAACATATCCGTTACAAATGCGGATAATCTTACGTTAATATTTAGTATTAACAAATAAATTTGGTCCAAAAAATCAATCAATCAATCCGAAGCCGAAGCCGTAGCCGAAGCCGAAGCCGAACCGAGCGACGACGACGGCGCGAGGCTTGCTTTCTTCTTAACTCTTTAAGAGCTACAAGAAGAGCAATTATATATATACCCACCAAAAATCTTTTCCTCTTCCAATATAGGAAAATATCTCATTGTCAAGAGGGAAAAACTTAAAATTTTACTCAAAAATTTTATTTTTCCTCCATTTCTCATTCACCCTCATTTTAAGACTATTTCATCTTAAATAACAAAAACCTTAATAATACGCACATGAATAAAGAAACAATAAGAGTGAAAAACTTATAAAGGTTACCAAGCTCAGGAAAAAAAAATTGTTATAGCAATGCAATTTCGTGCGTTTGACACTCCTTCAGAGAACTGTATTGTGTAAATAAAGAGCAAACAATGCTTGTGACTTGGCTAATTTCCTACACACCAAAGAATATTTTTAATCAAAAGACAAAAGTGATTAATTACATCTTCTATAAAAGTAACTATTGATTACACAATTATTTTTACTAATCTCAGAAATCTTCCTAAAGTAGTTTAAGTGCATTAACATTAAGATACACTAAACAATACATGACCTATATCAATCAGAAAATCCAAGCGAGTTCCACTATATATTATTCATAAAACCCAAAAATATTAAAAGCAAAAAAGGAAAACAAACACTCCATGTATCAAACCCATCAATAGATATGTACCTGAGTAAAGTAGAATTAGGGGAGTATCATTTTGATATAGAAAGAAAAGAAAAACCCACATCTTCGTAAAGAAAACAAAGACGCTTTTCCCACATATATTAACTTTTCTTCTTGTGTCTTTTGTCAAATAATTCTCTTCCATGATTCTGTACGCTAAGTGGAACTTACACACATATAGAGTAAAAATTATATAAAAAATTAGAATAAACTAACCCGACCCAACCTTCAATAAAAAAGAAAAATATTGAAAATCTTGCTAACATATAATCTATATTCAAAATATTTATATTCCCAATAAAAGATACAAGACAAAATTCCATCAAACGCAACCTTAACAAAGAGCGTCCTTGGAGCATTCAATTTCCTCCTAGAATCCAGCCCACCGTTTGTCCATGATAACCCTATAAATAATAGGATTTTCCTTCAATTATATGACACTAACAAAAATTCTAAGTATATAAATTGTAAGAGTCCTAATGAAAGTTTAACTTTGATTGGATAGTATAAATCGTATCTAATATGATTCCTATTGAAAATAAACTATACACTTTGTATGGTCTGTATATGTGCAATTCAAATCGGAAAAGAATTTCAACTTTGGGTAATTACAATTATATCCGTAAATTATATAAATATTTAAGAGTATAAAAGTCGATCAAGATTTTAGGGATATTTTAGTCGTTCAATATTTAGCATTAAACATTCGTGCTTTTATAATAATATAGATATAGATATAGATAAATATAGATAGATAGATAGATATAGATATAATATGAATTGATCAAACATGATAAAGAACAAGAAAAACTGAAACATTTGCAACTCAAACATAAAATCGTGTTGCTTACACAACTCTACATATGTAATCATCCAACTTGTAATTTGGGACCTATCACTAGGGAAACATCAAACAAGGATAACTCAATAGCCTAACCTAATGATGGATACCTTGTAGCCCAATAACAAAGCGAAGTTCAGAAGGCGACGGCATTAATGAAATTATCATAGACTAACCCCAAAATGATCATAATGGCCTCATTAGATAAGGATAATTAAAATAACTTAGGGTCATCTTACAACTTGGTCCCGTAGCTCAGTTGGTTAGAGCGTTGGTCTTATGAGCCGAAGGTCGCGGGTTCGAGCCCCGCCGGGACCAACATTTTTCATTCCCCACAGTCTAGGTCTGGGTCTATATCTTTCTGTAGCTACGTATTTTTGGACCCTTAAAGTTAAACTGCTTAGTACGTATTGCATTGGGTCCAGGCACTGAATTTTGGTAGGGCCCGATGCACCTAACTCCAATATTTTTATTTTTCATACCTTACAACATTATTTGTTGTGATATTATTGCACAACTTTAATGATCACCTTAAATATTCAGCAACTAACATATAGTAACAGCAAGAACAATCAAGATTGACTGTGATTATGCTTATCTTAAGTGAAATTCACCAACTTCAATCATTATCTTCATTGTTTTCCGTTTTATTTTCTCCTATTATTATGCTTGGCAGTTGGCACAATAAGCAACTTTTAAGCTGACCAAATTGTAGGGATAATTTGTCTTTCTAACTTTTACCCCATTAAGCCTAGTTATGAAGCTGAATATTTGATAATTATCATAGTTTAAAAGTTATATTATTTGTGTGTCGCACTATGCATGTTGTGTAGGAGTATTATTTTTGACTAATCGTTACTTAAAACTTTATATAATCATCGAGCAAATATGTTTTTTATTAGATTATAGACTTTCTTGAAAACTTTAGGCTACCTACCGTCAAATACATGCAAAGGGACATATACATACCTACATTTTCTAAAGATATTGTCCTACGTATTTTTCCTTTAATAAAAAATTCCCAGTTTGACCTTAAAAAATGTAGTCTAAGAAGGGACAAGAAAAGACTAGTTAATTACACTAGACCAGATTCACTATTGAATTCTTGATACTTAAGCGGCATAATATTTCTTTATCATATCCTCAATCATTTGTATGTCATGAAAAAGATGGTAGACAAACAAGAAAATTAACAATATAAGCTTCCAGATGTCATTTGAAGGTTTGGAGTTTCTTCAAATTTTACAGTAAGTGTTTGTCTTCAAAAACAGCAAAAAGTTCAGTATTTGAAAATATAGGAAACTGATTTTAAGAAATAATAAAAAGGTAACATCTTTCAAGATTTAGTTCAAACAAACACTAATATTACTGTATATGTCAGAAGAAATTTAAAAAGATAAAGAAAAAGGTCCTATCTTTTACTCAAATGCATGAGAGTAAATTTTTCCTTTGTCTTGATAGTTGGTCTATAAAAAGAAGCAGAAGTATTTTTCTCTTCAAAGAACTCCAACTACTCCTGAAAAAAAAAAGAAAAAAGAAAAAAAAGAGAGCACGCCAACAACACTATACCATAAACTTCTCCTATATCATTTTGTGCTAAGGATGAGAATCATCCTAATCAAACCCCTAAGCATGGTGAAAATAGAGCCGCGGGGATTGGTAATCGAAAAATAGCCGATATTTATAAAATCAATGAAAAATAGTAATTATTTTATATGAAGGTAAAATCCGGAAAACTACCAGCATAATATATTGAATTATGGAGCTCCTGCGTATAATCTTTCAGCATATTATGTTGGAATTTCAGCACATTATGCTGATATCTCATATAGCTAAATTTTGATTATTTTTAAATTATATATTTTCAATTACTAAATCACATTATTTATGATTTTTTTTTTCCGAAAGCATGCCATGGTTAACAAGAACAACTGGTTCTTCCGCTGTCCCTACCAGCAGCAATTTATTTTGTTGACTAAACAACAAAAATGCTTTATTGGAGTTTGTTTAGCCCTCCTTTGATAGAGGAGAAACAGGCCCTTTGTTCTTTTCAAATTTTAACTGATGGAGTACTTTTCTTTTCGTTGCTTTTTTTTAATTTTATATTCATCTGATTCCTTGGTAGTTGGTAGTTCAACTTCTTTTGGAAAAACATGCTCTGTTATTTTGTGTCATGGTGATGGGGCCATGACAAATGTCCATATTCCACACAATCACAAATTATACCAACCATTTGTTCTTTCTTTCTTTTCTTTTTATGTCACTTTTTCTCAAGTATTTCTTCTCTTCTACTCATCCTATATATTTTTTTCCACTGCCATCACTACTCTAGCACTTAATTGATTTTCTTCTTTTTATTCTGTTTTTTCTTCGCATTTTGGAGATACCCATTTGCCAGAAAGGGCTATAACTAAGCCTACATGTGAAGACTTTTTTTGCTGGTATGCTTTGTTTTACACACAATTTGTTTACTCTGTTCTGTTTTTCAAGTTTACATTTTTATTTGTTATTCTTTGTTTATGGTGTAAATAGTATCTGGGTATTATTCAGTTCCTTGAAATTTGAAACAGAAACTAGAATCTGTCTGGTAATGGGGAAAAGCAATCAAAGGTGTCAGCTTAATTGATTATTGGTGCTTTCATATTGTTTCTGTGAGTATTGAGTAAATCCCTCTAAACGTTTTACAATTTTGTAGCTGATGATCTGTTGCTACCCAGTAAAGTCAAATTATTAGGACATTCTTATTTTGACTAAACATACAAATAGGTCTGAGCCAGTTGAATATCGCCACAGTTATAGAAGTTTGATAGGAAGTGTACTGTGTGCATAGGGTGTAAACTGACGACCTATTTTGTTCATAGTGTATAGCACTCCACGAACAATAGAAAGTATACTACAGAATTGGACATGGTGGAACTTGTTGGGATATATTTTTAGGGTTAATCTTTTGGGTTGACGGATGTAGAGGTTTAGTTATGGTTTCATTCAAATCTAGAAGCTTTGGCTCGGATCCTGTATACGTGTTAAAAAATTTACAATATAAGTACAAATAATTGGTCCAACCCAGTAAATCATAATAAGTTGTGGTAAAATTTTGAATTCGAAACCATAAAGTTCAAATCCTGTGCAATAGCTAACGTGTAAAATATGTAAACTGTCCGATAATTTCTGGTGATGGCTGGAAGGTTTGGGACTATTAATTCATTATTAATTGCTTACTTGCTAAATTATTTGTAGCTAAAAATGTATTTCAATTGGAAATTCTGGGAAAACCGTTAGTTTCTTTGCTCAGATGAAGTTTGTTTTGTATTGATTAATTCCTGATGTACTTTCTGTTAGTCAAACAGGTAAGCTGTGTTAAGAGCTTTCAACAAGTCGTTGAGCGCTTGTGAGTATATGCGAATAGTTTTTTGTTGGCCCACTGCACCACTATTCCATTCTCATTTTCTGACTATCTGTATTTAGTTATTCCAGTCAGTTGTAGTTCAATAGTGCATTGAGTAAGAAGCACTTGTATCTTGTTATGGTAATATAACCTACGCTCAGCAGGGTTTAGTCCATATATTTGCCTTAGCTAGTTCACCTTGAGAACTAAAAGTAATGTATTCACAAACATTATGGCTTGATTTTAGGAAGAAATGATCACACATTGTCCTTCTAGAGTTGCAGTCAACCAAAATCTCTCACCTTCCTGCAGACCCCAATGTGAAATGTGAAGTAAATTTGAACTTGAGACCTCATGGTTCTCAATCCACTTCATTGATCACACCCTTGGATGCTATTCTTAATCTGTTATATAACTTTACTTCCCCTTTTTTCCCTTTGTATGGGTGAAAGGACTTCTTGTTGTCAACTCGATCAGTTGAATGAATATTTTCATGGATAATGCGACCATTTGAAATATCCACTTTCTATTTCACCCTCTGATGCAATAGAATAAGAGCCTGCCGTGTGTAAAATAATAAACCTTCAATCTGTATATTTTATAACTAATACTGTTCCATGTTCCATTTGTTGTGATTTGCAGCAGAGTAAGACATATATAACAAGCACCTGCAATGGGTTCTGCGGACTGGCTTAAGAATGTAATTGGTATGAGAAAAGCGAAGGATGGGAAATCTAAAAAATTAAAGGTAAGCTTTCGCTAATGAATTGCCTTAGATATCCGTATTCAGTAGTAGAGTTACATAATGTGATAGTAATTGTGGAGAAGAAAGGGAAGGTGCTTGATTAACAGTGTATTTAGGATCTTAAGAACAAGCAGACTGCTGGTTCTGATTATCTAGGTTAAGACTTTGTTCTTTTCTCTCTCTTTTTTCCTTCTTTTCCTTTTACCTTTTCTTTGGATCGAATGAGACAACGGAAAACTCCCAATGGTGCTTCAAACAAAATTTGTACTCTTAAGGCCACAAGTTGTATCATTAATTGATATCCTGCTGTCACAATCACCAGTCTGTGACAACCCATTCCTTCTATATTTTCATTATCAATTTTAGAATCACCGGTACTTTGTAAGGTCAACTGGATTCATATTTTTAGTTTGAGACAGGGAACATCAGCAATCAAAAAGTCTAATGGATGCAAAGGGGATGAACCCCTGCAGAAAGAGCCTTCTAAAATAACCAATGGTGTCTTGATCAAGAATCAGAGGGAACTGGGAATGCCTATTGATGACAGAGTAGCTATTAAGATTCAGACAGCATTCCGTGCTTACGTGGTAAAAGCATAGTATTTAATTATTATTTATTTTTTAAATTTATTCTTCTTGCAGTTAAATATTTCTTGAGTGACTTTATTCTTCTAATAACTTCTCTCGAGACGCAATATTGTAGTTACAGAGTAATACAGACCTTCATTTCTGTCTACGTTCCTGATCGTCAGACATACACTCCCAAATTTAGGACACTAACAAATTAAGGAATCGCATATGCGCGTTTTATCATTTTTATGTATCTGAAACATCCCAATTGTTCACAGCTCACATGCAATTCATCTTTACGGTTTCTTTTGTATCTTTGAGTGGGGTTGGGGAACCAGGGAATAGGATTCTTAAAATTATGACTTTACTTTGGAACATGCTGGTAAATTGACTGGCATCTTATTTCATGGCATGGGAACAAAAGCTGTCTTCCTATTACTATGACAGAAGATGGGTAAAATAAAACTATAACTCGAGTTTGGACTTTGGAGCATGCTGATATTTAATGGTATGTTATTTCATGGCATGGGAAAGCTATCTTTTGTTATTACTGTGACAGAAGATGATATGTAATGCATTTCCCGTCAAATCATTTTAATCATGCTATAAAGTGGGATTGCAGTCTCAAAAAGGGAAAAAAAGAGAGAGAGGTATCATATCCTGCATATGGTTTGGGTATCTTTTCTGTACTGCCACTGCACTTCTTTGATCACTCCTTTAACTAGTGAAATCCTTTAATATTACTTGAAGTAAAATATCCTCTATCCTGCCAGTGTGGGTTATTGATTTATTTAGTACAAATGGAACCACTGATGTCAGATGAGCGTTTCTATAACCTCAAAACATGCAGTGAGAGACCGCTTAGGTTCGGATTGCTACGTGAAAGACTGTTGTATATGATTTGTATTCTTTTCACTCAACAAAGGGCTATCAGATTGTGCCCTTCACGGTGTCTCAGCTAGATGTTGGACTTTTAGACCAAAGATCCGTTTAATCAGCTGATAAATTGTGTAACAAATAAGTTTGGGAATGTATCTTTCAAACCTTTGTTACAACTACTACTACTACTACTACTACTACTACTACTGCGCCTCAGTGCCAAACTAGTTGGGGTCGACTATATGAGTCCTCATTGACCATGTTACTCCCTTTAAACTCATCTCAGGCCAATATTATCTGGTTCTTGTTGGTGTCATTTTCTCTTATCGTACATGATGATATTGTCTTGCTATTGTCTGAGTCACCAAAGAAGGCGCTTCAACTCTTCTCTTTAGGTTGAATAGAGTTTTCTTCTTTTGCAGGCTAGGAAAACTTTACGTCGATTGAAAGGAAATGCAAGGTTACAGTTCCTGACACAACATCCGTCGGTGAAAAAACAAGCTTCATCAGCTTTGAACTATATCCACTCGTGGAACAGGATGCAAACTGAGATTAGAGATCGCCGTGTCCGTATGGTAACGGAAGGGCGTCTTGAGCGGAAGAAGCTGGAGAATCAATTGAAGCTAGAAGCAAAGCTTCAAAACTTAGAGGTTAGTCACCAACGCTCTTATGCTCACTAATTGTTTATCTTACCATCTTTCTCCCCGGTCTTTGAAGCCTCCAAATCATTATTTGCTAGTTCTCTTTCCGCTGTCAAGAGAGTTTCTTTCCTTGATCTTTCAACAACAACAACAACAACATACCCAGTAAAATCCCACTAGTGGGGTCTGGGGAGAGTAGAGTGTACGCAGACCTCACCTCTACCCCGAAAAGGGTAAAAAGGCTGTTTCCGGAAGACTCTCGGCTCAACAGAAGAGACAATAATATCACGAGAGAAACAAAAGAAAAGGCCTGTAACAACAAAAGATGCGAGAAAGATAATAACAACAACGAATAAGTGAAAGGACAATAACACAAAACTATGCAAAACAACAATATGAACACAACATACACCGCTAACAAACCTAAACAAAACTCTATCAGACTACCCGGTACAAAGAGGGAAGAACTCTCGACTACCCCCTAGCCTACCACCCTAATACTCGACCTCCACATGTTCCTATCAAGAGCCATGTCCTCGGAAATCTGAAGTCGCGCCATGTCATGCCTGATCACCTCGCCCCAATACTTCTTAGGCCGCCCTCTGCCTCTTCTCGTCCCTGCCAAAGCCAACCGCTCACACCTCCTAACCGGGGCATCTATGGTTCTCCTCCGCACGTGCCCAAACCACCTAAGCCTCGCTTCCCGCATCTTGTCGTCCACGGAGGCAACACCCACCCTCTCTCGAATATCTTCATTCCTTATCTTATCCAGTTTAGTATGCCCGCACATCCATCTCAACATCCTCATTTCGGCTACTTTCATCTTCTGGATATGTGAATTTTTCGCTGGCCAACACTCAACCCCATACAACATAGCCGGTCTAACTACCGCTCTGTAAAACTTACCTTTGAGTTTCGGTGACATCTTCTTGTCACACAAGACTCCAGACGCTAACCGCCATTTCATCCACCCCACCCCAATACGATGCGTGACATCATATTGGGGTTGGGTGTTTTTTTCAACTGTTATTTTTTCAAGGTTTTAGGTTTGATCTTTCAACTGTTATTTTTTCTGTTTAATCTTCTGTAAAAGATTTATGAATTCTGTTAAATAGAATAAATGACTGTTTGTAGAAGGAATGCGTGGAACTCTGTTAATAGAAGTCAGATATCCCAAACACTGTATAATTCATGATACTGATCTCTCGTAATCTGACGCTTTCGCTTTAGCACAATTCAACCTAAAACCTTCTCATGCAAGTACAATTTGCTAAACTCCATGCTTAAACTGCATTCTTTTTTTTCTTTTCTGTAATGTAGTTATAGGAGTTCATGACAGTTTCCATGTCATATGATGCCTTCTTAATCACACTGTGTTCTATGTACATAGTGCAATTACGAACACACAAACAAAAGTTTTCAATGTCTTTTGCTAAAAAAATGTATTATTTAAAAAATGAAAGCGTTTCAAAGTTATAGATGTTTTCAGAAAGGATCTATCTTGGATTGTGGATATTAGTTTAAAGTAGGATACTTTTTAAGCATACTTATCCCTGTTTCTGAAACTTATTTGGGGTTGAACTTTACAACTTTGTAATCACTCTCATATGAAGATAAGATGGAGACTGGTCTAAGTGGTGTGTGTGACCAATTGCAATCCTATAACATTTGAATGAGTTTATCAGAGATCTAAAGTCGCAAGAGTATAGATACGTGAAGTTTTAACATTTATGCTTTTTCTCATTTCCCTTCGTATTTGATTCACACCTAGTGAAATTTCTAAAACATGGAACAACAGCAATTTCATCTTAATTGAGAACGTTTTGCTTTAGTTGTTTTCCTCTAAGTTGCTCCGATACGGCAGTTTAGGTGCCGCACCCGTGTCGACACGACACTAATATGGGTGTGGGTATGGGATCCGTGTCGGATCTAGTCAAACAATTTTGGATACTTTGACCACAACGAACGGAAAAATTACAGACGAGATACAAATTGATTCCCGAAATCAGAACCAAAACTAGGGTAAATTTGAAGAAAATAGCATATCTTATCTAGGAAATCAATCCTTTACGTATCTACAACTTGAGAATAAAAAAAATTCACACTTTACAAGCTATACGTAAGTATTCCACAAAATTTCTCATAATTTAGAGATATTTAATATTTTTTTGAATTATTTTTAGCCGGATTTCTGCACCCGTATCCGTACTAGGATCCATATCCCCGAATCTTGGAATTTACATCTTGAAGGATCTGACCTCTAGATCCGCACCCATGTCGGATACCCACACCCGTGTCCGAACAACTTAGGTTTTCCTAATCTTGATCTGGCATGCAATTTATTATCCTACTTATGATAGCTCTGTGAATGGCTGACAGGTAGAGTGGAGTGGTGGCCCAGAAACAATGGAAGTTATTCTAGCAAGGATTCACCATAGAGAAGAAGCAGCAACGAAACGGGAGCGTGCTATGGCCTATGCATTTTCACATCAGGTATGTTAAACTGAATAACAATCTTCAACTTGTTTACATTTGCGATCTCAGAGCAGGAATTACCATTGAAATATTATTATGTTACAGTGGAGGGCCAATTCCAGCCCAGTATTTGGATCGTGTCATGAAATGAGCAAAGCTAATTGGGGCTGGAGCTGGACGGATCGCTGGGTTGCTGCTCGACCATGGGAAAGCCGAGTTCCTGTTCTCACAAGTCCAAAGAAAGTCAATGGTAAAGCAAGTAAGACCACTAAAAGTAGTACTACTCCGACAAAGAAAACACCAATTTCTGTTAAATCGAATTCGCCTCATGGGAAAGGCACTGTAAAAGCTAAAAAGTCTAATGAAGTAGCCGATAAAGTAGCTGCACAAAAGGTGAGCAGCAAAGTTAAGGAGACAGGCACTGAGAAACAAGAGGTGGTAGTTGAAGCCAACTGAAATGGATAAGATGTTGAAGCCAAGATATTTGGGTTTTTCCATATTACTAAGGATGGGGGTGAAGAAAAATATCTTGTAAGTTAATTTAATCGCCGAGCATGACTTGATGGATGTGGAGTGCTTTGTCTGAGAGTCGGCCATTGTTTTTCTTTATTTTTCCAAATTCTTCTTATCATATGTTTATCTGAGATGATAAGTTATGCATCATAGGTTAAAATGTGTATAGATGTCATATCTCATTCAAGAGTATTTATATTATAGCTTTGAGTGCCCGGAATAATCCTGTTCCGATGTCTATTTATTGCGGGGTGCCTTTTTATTTGTATAGATTGTTTTCTTCCTTGCCATTCACAAGGCAATTACATGTCTATCGTAAACAACCTTTCTATTTTCTCGAGGTAGGGGTAAGGTCTGCGTACACACTACTTTCCCCAAATACCACTTGTGGGATTATACTGGATTTGTTGTTTTACATATTTGCGGTTATAGCAGCAAGAATTCTTCCAACGAATACATATTTGTGTCTTTTTGTGTGCCCCTTTCTCCTTTTCAGATTGGCATGCAGTGGAGAAGAAGCAGTGTCTTCAGTAACAGGTATAATGTTGCTTTGACAAAACGCATGCCTAAAAGATAAAATGAAGCAGCTTAAATAAGTGAATTATTTTCCAGTTGTCTCCTTTTATTTCCGAGTCACATAGTAATTGAGAAAGCAAAAAGTTTGCTCCAAGTGTGAAGGAAGGAGTCACTTCTACGTGACACTACTGCGGTGAAGAATGAACTGAGACTCTTTGTATTGAGATTTTTCCTCTGTTACGTTCAAAGTTATAATTCAAAGTGAGGTCATTGTAATCTAAAACATATCTCCGTTATATGAATATAACATTCTCAAGTCAAGTTACTTCAACATAGAGATTAAAATTATTTAACTGATGTTTAACTTATGTCACCAAGTTTAAGTGGCGACGTCCATTCCGACCGAAATCGGTCGGTAATATAATATTAAATTTTTTAAAAAAAATTATTTAGTTTAAACACCGGCCGAAGTCGGTCGGTAATTTAATTTTAAATTTAAAAAGAAATTATTTAATTATTTAATTTTAAAAAGAAATATATACATAATTGTGTATGTATATATTCACACACACATATATGTGTGTGATCGGTATATTTGTTATATATATATATATATATATATATATATATATATATATATTCTTCAATTGTGTGATTTGACCGAGTATATATTGTTGCTACAACTTAAGTTTTAATATAGCACTACATCTTATAACACTATACATTTTATTTTTAAATGTGTTATAGCATGTTGGATGCCGATACTTAGACTCGATCACTCCAACATTAAAACTCAATATATATTTAATGTACTAAGGCCGTTAGTACGCCCGAAGTCGGTCAGTGTTAGCCAAGATCCAAATTATAGGTACTATTTAATATTTAATTATTTTTGTATGTATACACACAC